CATCCCTGGAAGTATTTAAAAGACGGGTAGATGAGGCGCTTAGGGACATGGTTTAGTGGGCATGGTGGTGTTGGGTTGACGGTTGGACTCGATGATCTTGGAGGTCTTTTCCAACCTTAATGATTCTATGATTCTATGATTTTCTGAAGTGCTGTTGCTCAGTGGTGTTAGTCCTCATTCTGTATACGTCCACCAGTTTTTCTTTTCTATGTATAATTTTTTATAAGATTCTTTACTGGCCTTCAGCTTATCTGACGAGTAGTGAGTGACAAAGAGTAAAACTAGGGGCAATGCACACAAATTACAGCCCAGGGGGATCACGTTGGAGGTGGGGAATCCTTCTTCCCCCAAAGTGGGGAGCAGCTCTGGGACAGGTGCCCAGGGAGATGGGGGTCTCCATCCTAGGGGGGGTTCGGGTCCTGGCGGGGTCAAGCCATGGCCACCCTGACCTTGTATTGCTGATAGTCCTGCTCCAGTTAGACAAGACATGTTCAGAGACTGCTTCCAACCAACACATCTTTGATAGTATCATTTCAGGCCAATTCTTCAGTCTACAAGTAATATTTTGAGCTCTAATCCCATTTTCTAGAACATTTTAATTTCCTCCCATCCTGGTCTTAACCACAGACCATATAAATATAATCTCTGTTCATTTATCCAAATTAATCACAATAATTAGTTGTACTGGGCCTATGGCAGACGTGTGAGATGAGATAGATACACTTCAAAAATCTTGCCAGTTCAATGATGAAAACCAACTTTTGAGTTTCCTCTTTTAAACTGATTGCACCCCCACAGAACTATGATTTCATTTAGACCATTGCATGTCTGAATTTGCTGCACGGTGTTCAAAGTGGTGCACTGACAGCTTATGATGGGGGGGGCATGTATAACAGTCTTTGCTATAGACAGGTAAGCTGCTTCGAATGGCCAAGGTCATGGTCTTCCCTTTCACTTACACGTTCTGTTCCCATTCATGCCTGGTGTGGTTCCTCTGAATTTGTTGTCTCTCTTCACAAATTGGGCATGCAAGTAGCAAGTCAGCAGTTCCGCTTGGAACAACAGTATTTTCAATTCTAAACTCTATTTTACAAATACCTTCTAAATGGAATAAAGTATTAGATGCTTTCCACTTATCCAGCATTTTTGTTGGAGTCCATAATCTGCCATAGAAAAGCAACAATAATGACTGTGTGACCACTTACTATCTGAAACCTATAAAACTGAAGTCTCCATGCTGGTTGTAAATTGTTTAGCCATGATGGAAAGCAAGGTGCTAAGCCCTTCTGCCGCCCAGACCTAAAGTCACAAGCTGAATGGTAAGCAGTTAACTCTGCATCTCTTGGGAGCTCAGGCAATTCTTGTTCTATGTCAAGAAAAGACATCACAGAAAAAAAGCTTCTTTCTTCCTTAAGCAAGAAAAATCAAATTGTTCAGAAAGTGGCATGCTTCTTAACTGGAATAATTACACTGCAGGTAAGGAGATATGATGCTGACAGATCACCAGATGGCAAGTGCTCATGGTGTTGAGCTAAAGCAACCTTCCAGATGTGTCTTATTTTCAAGAACTTGCTTCTGAACAATTTCCTGCTGTTATGAAGCTGAAGGAAAGGCTAGTGCTTGCATGAAGTGTAACCACAAACCACAGCAAAGCTGGTTGGAAGGGACCTGTAGAGGTCTCCAGTCCAACCTCCTGCTTGAAGCAGGATGATCCACCAGCACTAGATCAGGGCAGCTAAAATTTTGCCAAAGTTGATGAAATTGTCTGTAGTATCAGAACGAGAATTTCTAACAGGAAAGAACTAACTTATGAATTAATTTAAATTAAATTTACTAATTTAATTTACTCATTAAATTGTAGTGCATAAGGTTACACTGCATCTTTTAATAAAATTTCTTTTCTTTCTAGAAGAAAACCTTTCCAGTTTTTTTTTTTTCCTTAAAGAATAGCAATTGCTCTTCCACCATGCATATTTTATTGCATTGCAGCAATGTCTCTCCTTTGTGAAACCCTAGTCTTCCATCTCTTCAGATGGGTCCGCTGCTCTACAACATGAAGGACATGAAAGTGCCGATGGCCTTCTGGTGTGGTGGAGTGGACTACCTGGCTGATCCCTGAGACGTTACCCTCCTGCTCCCCCAGGTCAGGAACCTGGTGCACCACAAGGTGGTTCCCCAGTGGAACCACCTGGATTTCCTACTGGGGCTCAATGCAACTGAGGTTTTGTACCAGGAAATCATCGACATGATGAAGAGGTATCCGTAAAGCTGCTGTTAAATTTGATACATTTTTTGCTGATGTGTCTTGTAAGATTAATGCTATCTTTAAAGGATTTTGAAATTTGTCACTATTTGGACCACCTGAATGTAGTTGATTAAAATGTTCTGCTTTTAACTAGAGCAGTGACAGAGCAGGGAGAGGAGCCTTTATGCTTTTCCTGATTGGCACTTCATTTCCTTTCTTCTTCCTTTTTTTTCTCCCTTTTTTTTTCCCTCCTTTTTTCCCCCCTCTTTTTTCTTTTTTTTTTCTGTTTTTTGGGGTTTTGTTTGTTTGTTTGTTTGTTGTTGGTTTTTTTTTCCTTCATCAGCCATATTTATTTACAAAGTACAGGAAACACAGGTGAGGAAGCCGGGTTTTTAGACATTTCGTTAAGACTGACAGCACAGTGATCTATTCCCTGAGACACGATGGATCCTGTGTAGCCTTTCCCATGTAGTTAGCTTTATAGTGCCTGCAATTCCCCTGAGACCTGGGTGTCTGGCCCCCCTTGTAACTCAGTTGATTCCTGGCTTCATCAGAGACACAAAATTCACTATTGTCATCTCAGAGCTGGCACTGTTACCCCTGGACCTTTAAAACTACCAACATGGATCAGAAAGAGATCTAACAGGTCTGTGGTGAAAAACCACAGCAGAAATACATCTCCTTAGAGGCAATACCGTACTAGTGTTTTTGAAATTCAATAAAAATTGTAATTAATCACATTTTTAATGTGGGTGGGTTTTTTTTCTTTCAGCAACTGAGAAGCCAAAAAGGAAGAATCAAGAAAGAAATAAATCCTGAGAAGTAATTACAAGAAAGACAGTCCAGCATGTGATTCTGATATGCAATGTGAAAAGTCCAAATAAAAAAGGGGCTTAGGGAATGTACAAAATGCCTACATCTTAGGGTTTATCTGAGATGTTTTGGTAATAAGATTGAGTCATTCGTTTTGTGTTGCGTATTTTCTGACTGAAGTGCTTTCTTCAAATCCAGTATATATACACGTGACGAAGCAGCACTGCAAAAGTCATCCCTGGTAGTGCATCATTTATGCAGCAGGCCAGGCATGCAGGTATCTGCCAACCACAGAGGGTTCAGTCTATGTTTGGCCGAATATTATTATCAATATCAGTACTTCACAAAGAAATAAGATGAAGTCTGGCTACTTTACGAAATAAGACTTCTACATATTTGTGTCTTTACAGGTTTGGGACAAATTGTGTTAAATATTGCCAGGTTCTGAGCATTTGCTCCGAACAAAACTGCAGCAGCTTTTCTTTGCATGGGCAAGCATATCAGAAGACGGTTCTTCATCCTAGGCTCCCTACACACATGGAAAATAGAGGCTGAACTGTTATACCTGAGTTAATATGAAACAAAATTTGCAGATCCTCTGTAAAACCCAACTCAGTACATTGATCTTTAGTTAGAAACAGAAGAAGAGTTGGCTTGAATTTCAATGTGAAACATGGTGATGGCTGTTTTTTCCCATTTTTAGGGGAAGACCACCAAGGCATGTGGTCAAAAGAAAACAGGTCAGGGAGTTATTCCTTGTCTTAAACAGGCCCATCTGCTTTCTGCCATGAGAAAGAAGCCTGCTCATCCCATGCAGCACTGGGATGCTCTCTAGCTGCCGGTATCACGTTGACTAGCTGTTGTTTAAAAACAGCAATTTTTCCTGTGCTGTAGTACAGGAAAAGTTTTCAAACCTTCAATGCGGAAAGACATCATCCTTCAACCTAGCTGATCACCCCCAATACAGCCCTCTTATGATGGATTGCAGGTCCAGCTGCATCTCTCATGGCATTTACAGCGAAAGTGGTGATCTCAGAGATGTCATGATGTGTTGACAACTTTTTCTTTAGCCTGAAGGAAGAACAGTTATTTTATGACAACATCCTTGTTTCTGCCAGCCAAAATTCTGAGGCTCATTAGAAAAACTTGATAAACATGTTAATGATGTGAACATCAGAAGAATCAGCTTGTTTCAGGGAGGAGGAATCTAGTTGTGAGGCAAAGCAACATTTCAAGGAGAAATTACTCAGTCGTGCACTGGCATACTACCAAATTTTCAGTCTGTCATGCTTCCTTTAAAATTTCCTGGAAGATCAGCATCACCTAGAAGTAGCCATGAAAGGCAAAGTAGATATTGATGAGAGGTGGGGGGAACACAGAAAATAATTTTGGGTGGAGAACAGTCTTTCCAAATGCTGTTGTGGGTTATTTTTGATAACAGAATTCGTTACTAGAATTTGCTTGGTAAAAGTGAATGACAGTGATTCCTCTCTGATGCTGGACGTCCTTGTGCTGGCCTTGCTGACCAGTGTAGGATGCTACTTCTTACCCCGTAGCTCATCTTACCCCGTAGCGTGCCTCCAGCAGAGCAGAGCAAGGCAGTTGGGACTCTTCCTGCAAACAATCTCCCAGCTTCCCAAGCCAGCCGTGATACTATTGAATGCTCTGTGATGGATATTGCAAGTCTTTTCCCACTTGCTTTATCAATCCTTGTAAACTTTTGCCATCTACAGCACCCTTTGGCGAGAAGCTTCATGGAGTGACTCCTAGTGAAAAACACAAGAGCACAGCATAGCTGTGGCACAGTGGTGATGCTCTGTGTTTGTTCCTGTGCTGCTTTCTTCATAGGTCCTGTCCTAAGCCTTTCTTCTCTGAAGAACAAAGTCAGCAAGCAGAAATGAAAATTTCATTAAAGTTATCTATGAAGAAAAGCTTGCATTCATTACAGTTGCCTAGTATATCACAAAGCCACACTGGTTGCACTAAATAATTCATGATTTAATTCTTTTTTCCCCCGTTTTCTTCCTAAATATGTTGCTTCTGCTTCTGCTCATTCCAAGAAGCTTTCTGTAAAATTCTTTTGAGGTAATGCTCTTTACCTAATCAGGTTTTTCAGTTTGTTCAAGACAGTCTGTTTCCAGTAAATACTTTTGTCTCTTCTAAAAAAATAACTTTCAAATTTTATCGGATGATCAGATTATCAGATTAGGCAATTGTTTACTTTTCTATCTTTAAGAAATTCTCTAAGCATCTTTCTGTAGTACAAATTCTTGCTTAAGTTAATCCTGTTTAAACACATCTTTTTTTTTTAATTCTCTTTCCAGTTATGCAGAAACAATTTGCCCAAAGTAAAAAAATGCAGCTTCACTTGGTATTTTGCCATAGGTACAAAAGGACGTTTCCCTGATTGCTTTGTCTCCTTTGTTGGGCTTAAACATTTTCTTTCTCTTTTAAAACCCTGAAACAAAGCTGTGACCCAAATCCTCGCTGAAATGAAAATAAATCAGCTCCCAGCAGCAGGAGACGTTTGCAGATGTGACACGTGACATGTGGCTGGACCCAGGAGGTGTATATAAATAAATAAATAAACAACCCCCAAATCCTTCCCCAGGGGCAGCAGCTCTACAGAGGGGACTGGAGACCCCAGGCATGGCCCATCAGCCAGGAGTCGGGGATGCCCCAACTCACCCGGACACAGCCCCCGGTGACCTGCTACAGTGGCATCCCCCGCATCTCGTCCCAGTGGGGTGTGCTTGGTGGACACCCAAGGAGCTGGGAAACACGGTGCCCCTTGCTGGGACCACTGGGATGGCACCCAGGTCCTCAGTGCATATTAGCACTGCTGTGAGGCCATCACCACTCTGTGGAAGGAGAAAGACCTCTTTTGTTCCATGCTGTTTTGGTTGGAAAGGGTAATTGAAGCTGACCAGGCTGCATGCCAGACTCCACCACCTGCTCAGTCAGCAGATTGTCTCTTGGCTGACAGACAAACATGTCCCTAAACAAAAGGATGTCAAACAGGCTTACGGGCTCCTCTAAGAGCAAGTCTCAGCTGGCCGGCTTGAGGAGGAGCTGAGCTGCTGCTGCACCAGCTGAAATCCTGAGGTCCCCAGGAGAGCAGCAGAGGGTTGTGAAGAGCTCTGAAGGCAGGAGGAGAGAGCCACAGGTGTCACAAGAGGGACAGTCTCGGCACTGGTCTCCTGTCAACACCAGCTGGTGGGGTGGTCAGGGAGGTCCTAGCCAGATCCTCCCGGACCCACAGGTCTCCCTTTCTGTTTCCCATCTTGGTCTTAACCCACAAGGGCTGCCACTTGTTCCACCCTGCAATGCCTCCGGCAAAGGTTTGGGAAAGCAGTGGTCTGTTTCCATGTTAAACACCATGTCATGTCCCCAGACCCTGCCCCGGTTGTCCTCTTGGCATGTCGTCCAGGAGCAGAAGCAATACCACCTCTTGCTGTCCTTCTCCTCTGAGGAGCCACCAGCTCTGACCCAAGACAAACACAGGGGCTTAAGACAGGCTGTGAAATCTTATACAAGCCAGTTGATCTTGTTCAAGCACCGGCAGGTTTACCAGCCAACACCCTCTTCATTAAACCATTTCTGTGATGGTTGGCATCAGAACCAGCGTGCGCGGTGCCTCCAGGGGCGCAGCCATGGGCTGCAGGGTGGGGTGCTCTCATCGCTGGGACGAGGACACCATGACTGATGGAGAAGGAGCCCCAGGGCCAGGTAGCATGGGGCCGGGACATCCTCTTTGAGGGCATGCATTGGCTAATTCAGTGGTTTCATACAAAAGGTGACACAGAGGCACGTATTTTCACAAGCAAAATTCCTCATGCTAAACATGCATTTTACCCAAAGCTCATGGCATACCCAAACCAGAAATTAAAAAGGAACAAAGATGCTGTTGTCCCCATTCCACCTTTTATGCACTGGCATTATATTAGTATCAGGAATGAAACAGCCAGAAGGCAAAAGGCAGGGTTGAAGTCTGAAGACTGCCAGGGGAGAGAGAAAATCATGAGTGTTATGAGAGGTCAAACCTCGGCCCTTTGGGTTTCTTTCTACCACTGGAGAATGACAGGGGTATCACAGTTCAGACAAGGCACAGGCACAATGCCAGGCACAACACGAATTTCACAGTTAATATTTCCTCTTACTTCTTCTCTACTCACGTCTTCCCTTATGTCTTCTCACCAGTTCCCAGCTTTCTGCTCCTTCACCAGGGATTGTTCCAGTCTCTAGGATTTCACATTTCTGATTTTTTTAAACAGCTGTGAACAAAAGTGATAGCTGGCTATTTTTTTATTTATTTATTTTTTACCATAACCAGAACATGCACTTGAGAAAGCAGATATTTGCAGGTGTTAAATACATTTGTATTTGCACTTTCTTATTCAGAAACACCAAAGAAGTTGGGGGAAAAAAATTGTGTCTGGAAAATGATGTCCCAGTATTGACAAGATATGTTGGGAAGAACCAGACAACAGCTGGAGGCAGGAGAGAAATGAGAAGGAGGGAAACTGGTAATCCATACCATTGCTGCTGTGATTTCTATATCCCCCCAAATTTCTCATGGCCTGGAAAACTAGCTTTTTTGAGATGACCTGGAAATCTCTGACTTTATGGGCAATGATGTTTTTTCCTTACTTCTCTTAACAGCAAACACTTCAGAGATATGGGTGCACAGGCAAATCACCTTGTCTCGGATATAGGCACCAGGGCAAGTCCTGATTACCAGTTAATTTAAAGCATATTGACTGAGGCAGCATTTCCTTGCTGTATTTTGTTGCATATAGATGCAACAAACTTTCCCTGGAAACATTCTGGGCAAGAAAAAGAAATGAACCATGCTTTGGAGCATTCACCCAAGAAGCCCTCAGAAACTTCAGTATTTGTAATCAGTCAAAGTAGATTGATGGAGGAATTGAGAAAGATACTGCTCTTCTCATGAGCATTCAATGCTCTGAAATAATCAGATGTATCTCGTGCCACAGAATCGTTCTCCCACAAAAGAAGAGCTGGGCCTAGTTGAAACTGAGTGAAACAGGTGATGGTCTGAAGACAGGTCCATCTGAAGACAAGAACCTGGATGTAAATCCCTTTAAAATCACACCAGTTAAAAGGTAAGTGAAATGTTTGTTCAGGCAAATGAGATGTCCTTCACGATACATGTCAAGTGATAGTGAAGAGCTTCCTCTTGAGATGGAGGTAGTTTCAGTAGCATCCGAGGGATATATACTCCCCTGCACATGCAGCATCCCGCAAAACCATGACTGCTGTGGAGATGTTTTCCCGAAGCAAAAATGTTTGTGTCATCAAGCATGGTGAGGATTGGAGGGAAATTGCAATTGATGTTGATTGTAGGTCATTTTCTGTCTCCTCTGTATTAATGATGGATTGGGTTTTGCTCATTTCAGCAGTAAATTAATCAGCTTGGAGGGTCTGTTGAGCAGGTCTGCTAGTGCACAGGTTAAGAACTCCTTAATCCCCTTAATCTGCCTCCTAACTAGTAACTCACAACATGAACCTATAATAATCTGTTGTAAGGCCAATATATTCCCCAGTATTTTTACCTCTTCATCTGGATCACTCTGACCTGTGAGAACAGAGCTGCGCACTGTTTTTGACAGCTGTCCACACATTTGGTGATTAGGACCCATGTGGGAAGAAATACACCCTCACCCTATTTTTTTAATTCTAAATAATTAAAGAAGTCAAACCACAATACTGGTGAAAGCCCAAAATGGGCCCACGAGCACGTGACTAGAAATTGGCCATTTTCAGGTTTGGGCTGGAAATCCCAGCTCCTGTCTCAAAAGGCAGGTCCCACTGCAGGCTCTGTAAGAGCAGGGGAGCAAAAAATCTCCAGGCTGGTTTTTTGGGTGGAGCTCAGCAAGTTTATAGCTGGGTTTGATGTGGCACTGGTGACAGACGGACCTGCTGGTCCTTGGTTCCTGAGCTTCTCTAGTTTGGTGCATCAAATTCATTCTTCATGAAAGATCCCAATTTGGGAAGCAATATAAAACGGTGGTTATGACTTTCTCCGAGTTCTCATCATTTTGTGGATGAAATAACATGAGCCTGACTTCGTTTCACTTGAAAGAGGAACCTGAAGTGTGTTATCTGAAGGTGCAGTCTTAAGTATACGTGTGATTTGTCCTCATTAGCTTCACTCAGCATTATGTTGCAAACCGATGGCAACAGCCTCCAATCCTGCATACCAATTTCTTACTCTTATCAACCTTTTATTAGGCAAGCTATTGACAGATTGACTTTGATGCTCCCTGAAGTTAATTCTTCTCCTTTTACTATTCAGATACAGGTCAGAGGTTGGTATACCTTTGCAAACACTGAGCTGCACGCTCTAAATTAAGCACAGTGTCTTGCAGAGATCCACAATGCTGCTGGTGATGGCACCACCAGATGCCTTATGGCAATCAGTGCTTAAGACCAGCTTTCCAGTCCCACAAGCTGTTTGGCTGACGTCAGTTTGGGTTAGAGAGCAATGCTTTATCCTTTAAACATATTTTACTCTCTGTTAAAAGGCGAGAGATGCAGAGTTTGCAAATCAATCTCACCGAGTCTTAATCCACCCAGACTGTCAGAATTTTTGTTTTCTTTGGATTGGAGGACCTAAAACCTTCTGCTCTTTGGATCACTGTGGGCATCTTTTACCATGTGCAGAGACTTGCAGGCAGAATAATGCACAACTCCACAGGCAAACAACTATTTTACCTACTGGCAAGCACGTGTAATAAATAGATGGGGCTAGCATGCTATTAGGCTAAGCACGAATGTGCTCACCACACCCGATGCAGGCACTGATGAGTGCTCTGCTGGCTGGGCAATTATCAGTGAGGTGGGGAGATGCTGGTGTCTGTTCCTTGGAAACCTTTGACCTTCCTGAGTTGCTGTTTCTGATTGTTCACCTCTTTAGTCAGGTTTTCATGCTGAGGTTTTTCTCCCGAGACCTGGAGTTGCTGACAAGAAAGAAATAGCTCAGTTCTGGTCACTGGGCGACACAAGAGGGACTCCCTGTTGACCCAGGTCATCTTCTTCTTGGTGTCAGCTTCATCTATTCAAATTGCAATACTCTGCCATTCCCACCCCCAGCATAAAAGGTGGAGCTCTCAAACCTTTGCTTGCACCACTTGGCAAGATGAAGGGCATATACAGAGGACTCATCCATACCTGGTGCTGGGCTACTCTGCTGCTACAAGCCGACATGGCTTTGGCAATTGCAGGATTTATCTCTGAATAGTCCCGTTGGTAAGGTAGAACCCAGAAAACGAGATGGTCTTCTACCATTTTTGGTGGGCTCTGGAAACATGTCTCAGCACTGCTTCTGGCTAGTGACATTGTTCAAGGTCCCCTGTTTCCACCTTATTATTAAACATAATTTAGCTGGTTCTTCTGTTTCTGAAGCTTCTTTCTCCATTTTTTATTACTGAATTTGTGGCAAGTTTGCACATGCTCTTGAATCTATTTCTGTGCACATGCCCACACACATACTCAAAGAAAGAAAAACGCCTTCTGCAGGTACTCCTCTGCAGATGCTGTGAGGCTCAGCAGCCAGGTAGCTCTGGTCCATGTTAGCCACACTGGATGTGTACAGGCTGCTTTCAGGCAACCAGCATTGTCAGCTCTCCCCAGAGTCTGAAACTAAGTCGCAGCGCTATGAATTCCTGCCCTGTTTAATGCTGTGCAAATATAGGGGAAAAAAAATTATATTGGTTGCAGAGAGCCATTAACAAGTTAATCCCTCCAGGGTAAATAGAGTTGCCGGAATTTACTCTTCTTGTCTTGATGGTTTTTTTCATTTAAACACTAAGAAGCTAAATGGGATGAGCAAGAAAAGCTTGGCAAGAAACAATGTAACTGGAGAGGGATATCCAGGTGGATTTATGAGGTGGGAAAGGGCTCAACCCCTCCGAGCTCGTCTTGCACATTTTATCAGCAGAAAATCACCAGGTTTTGAACTTCACTCAGTGTAGTGAGGAGGCTCTGGTGAGTACCGTCTCCTACTACTTTGACCTTTGCCAACTGTGCCCAGTTCAGAGCCCCCCAGGCCAGATGTGGCCTCTTTCCATTTTCTCTGCTGCCTCCTGCCCTTGCTTATCCCCTGCATCCCCTGGGGATCCCCAGCTCTCACCACTTACATGCCACTGGGTGCTCCTGCTTGGCTGGCTTCAGCCAGAGCTGCAGGATGCTGTCGAGCACCCAGTGCCAGGTAGAGGGTCCCATATGGCACTGCAGCTGGCACGGTTTGGGATGGAATTGCCCATGCCATATTGCAGCATCAGGCTTTGGCAGCGCTGCCAGTGGTGCTGGAGCTGTACAGCGTTAGCTCATGCCTCCGGCGCACCCACCATCCTTCTTATGCCAACCCCGTTATCCCCCAGGTGCTGTGGAGATGCAAGATGTAGCAGCTGCTGGTGGCCCTGTGCCTGGCCCAGGGGCTGGGCGACACCATCGCATGCACGGGAGTGAGCCATGACAACCCCGAGCAGTTCATGAACATCGTAAGTGCTGACAGAGTCCAGGCTTCCCCATGGGGTGGACCCAAAGTCCTCCCCGAGGGACCAATCAGGTTCTCCCCATCCCTTACCCTGGTGCCTGCACCCATGGGGAGCCAGGGGGGTCTGGGCACATCCCACTGGGCTGCACTAAGCCAGCTGGTCACTGCATTACCTCTTTGTCACTTGTGTCACCCCCTTGCCACCACCTGCAAGGGGAACAGTTTGGCCTCTGGGGTGTCCCCAGGGCTCCAGACACCCTCTGTGCCTTTCAGAGTGGCTCTTCCACAATAAGAACCTCTTCAGGTCTCCTGGAGATGGTCAGATTGCCAAGTCCCATGTTTTGCCACTCCACAGGTGGAAAGGACTTTTGAGGGGGCAGCGAAAGAGTCTGAGCATCTTCCTTGCATGCAGCATCTCTGCTCATTGCTTGCTCCTCACTCTCCCTCTGGACAGGCAGCACCTTCCCCAGGAGGCTGTGTCTTTCTCACCCTGGCTTTCCCTTGCTGCATCAAGCAAAGGGGCAGTACCCGACGTTGGGGAACTTCCTACCCAGCTGAGCTCTATTAATATATTGAATTTTTGAGGATTGCCTCATTCGGCACAGCCAAGAAACACAACAGTGCCGGTTGAGCTCTGCCTTCTCCAGGGCCAACTTGCCCTCTGATGTATGTCATGCTTTGGACAAGGTCTGCCGGGAGTAAAGTCAAACCCACCCACCGTTTTCCCCACTGGTTTCTCTCCTTGCAGAGCCAGATAATCCGTTTCCACGGATATCGCAGTGAGGACCACCAAGTCCTGATGGACGATGGCTACTTCCTGACTGTGAACCGGATTCCTGGTGGCAGAGAGGAGGCTGGAAGCAAAGGCACTCATCACCCCGAAGCGAGGCTTGGCAGGTCCCCTTCTGAGCAGAGAAGGCAAAATGAGGATCTAGGCAAAACAAGGATCATCTAGGCAAAATGAGGATTGTCTTTGCAGAAAGAGGGATGTGACTGGAGTTTGCACTGTGAGGAACGGGGACAGGAAGAGATGTGGGTCTTCCTGGGAGGGAAACATGCTTTTCTCTGGGCACTGGTGGGGAGGGAGCGGCCTTGAGCTGGACCTGGGGATGCAGAAGCTCCGCATTGTGTTTTGCTGTGTCCGGGACAGGACAGCATGATTCAGCGAGCCCCAGCACCTGGAGAAGGAGGGCTGCGGTGACTCCTTCCCCAGAGCAAATCCCCTGCCATGGATCAAGGTTTCCTGATAGTTCAGTGCCAGGGGTGGCAAAAATATTTCAAAATGGAGGAGAAAAAACATCAGCAGAGAGAAGAAACTGCAGGGGAAGCTACTGTCTCCAAGACTTTCCAATCGTGATATGAAAATATCACACTCCCATGGGTTGGAGGTGAAGGCAGCTTCTTTCCCATTCCCGGGTACTCGCATCAAACAACCTTTTCTTTTTTTTCTCTCATTTCCAGGATCCAGGTTACCTGTGTTGCTCCAGCATGGCTTGGTTTTAGATGGTAGCAATTGGGTTTCCCATTTCCCCAACAGCAGCCTGGGCTTCAACCTCATGGACACGGGGTACAATGTCTGGATCAGGGAACAGCTGGTCCCGACGGCACCTGAACCTTTCTGTCGACCAAGAGGAGTTTTGGGATTTCAGGTGAGAATGCCACCAAGGATGGGGCTGGGATTCTGGGCTGCCAGCGCCGACCACCTGATGTCCATGGGAGGTTGGGCGATGGGCACCTCCTCCAGCTTCTCCCCTTGCTCCCCAGCTTCCACGAGATGGCCATGTACGACCTCCCCGCCATGGTGGGCTTCATCCTAAGGCAAACCAGGCAGGAGAAACTGTTCTACGTCGGCCACGACACGCACTCAGGGCAAGTCTCTGGGTGAGTGAGGAGGAGGAGCCGGGCGCCAGGATGCCACGGGAGAAAGACATCAATATCTGTCCCAACCTGAAGACTGCTGAGGACAGGGCTGCATTGGCCCATGGGGCCACTTTTCCTACCTGACTTCTTGGTCCTTCTGCATGGGAGAGGTTTGCTACGTCTTGCCCAGCCATCCTGGGCTGTGCTGACATCCAGGAGCGCTGCAGCTTCATTTTGTTCAGACCCTGTGTCTCAAACAGGGGATCTGGGATGCAAGGAGGGGATTCATGTGCTTGGATCCACATGGCAGTTGCTTGTAGGACCTCTGCAGTCTCCTGTGGGTTTTTTTTTCAGGTTTCATAGCGTTTTCAAGCATGACACAGCTGGCTGAGAATATCAAAATGTTCTTTGTGGTGGGTCCTGCCTACACTTTACATATGGATAAAGGTCCAGTATTAAGCCTTTTCTATCTTCCTGGTGCAATAATTAAGGTAAGTAAGTGTTGTGTTCTGGTTTTCTCATCCTAATTAGTTATGCAGTTAGTAAACGATAGCCAAAATCAGGAAGCAGTTGCTTGTGCCACTGTGGCAAACCTCCCCCTGACGTCCCACCCCACTGCTGGGTCAGTGCTGTCGGGATCTGTGGGGAGATGAGGAGGCATCCCGTGAGAGGGGATTTAATATGCCCGGCTCTCCCTCCTCCAAGGGACAGGAAAACCCACCGATCCTCCTGAGTTGCCAGGCTGGCTACCCCAGTGGCATCAGGGCTGGGCAGGGACCAACCCATCATGTCCATGTCCCATGGCAGGTGATTTTTGGAAGGAAAGAAGCTCTGCTGGGATGGGAGCAGAGAGCAGCACTTGCCAGGGTGTGCAGCTGCTGGCTGCTTGGCAGGGTCTGTGCAGACAGGCTTTTCCTCGGTGGTGGATTTAACGAGAACTTGAACATGGTAGGCACCTTTCCCTGTGATTTTGGCTGACCAAATAAGAAATGTCATAATGTCATTGTAGGTGCCACATCTCATCAGGGGTTAGGTTACTTAGCAATCTTACTGTCATGGGACAGGGGCACTGAGGATGAAAATGATGAGTCAAGAGATTTAAAATGGTGGGGGTTTTGGGTCCTGTCATGGTTTAACCTCAGTCGGCAACTGAGCACCACACAGCTGCTCGCTCACTCCCACCATCCCAGTGGGATGGGGGAGAGAATCAGAAGAGTAAAAGTGAGAAAACTTGTGGGTTGAGATAAAAACAGCTTAATAATTTAAATAAAATAAAATAATAATAATAATAATAATAATAATATACAAAGCAAGTGATGCACAGTGCAATTGCTCACCACCCGCCGACCGATGCCCAGCCAGTCCCTGAGCAGCAGCCCCCCCGGCCAGCTTTCCCCCAGTTTATGTACTGAGCATGATGTCACATGGTATGGAATATCCCTGTGGCCAGTTTGGGACAGCTGTCCTGGCTGTGCCCCCTCCCAGCTTCTTGTGCACCTCCAGCCTTCTCAGTCGGTAGAGCATGGGAAGCTGAAAAGTCCTTGACTAGTGTGAGCACTACTGAGCAACGACTAAAACATTGGTGTGTTATCAACATTATTCTCACCCTAAATCCAAAACACAGCACTGTACCAGCTACTAAGAAGGAAATTAACTCTATCCCAGCTGAAACCAGGACAGGTCCCCATTATTTCTGTTGGTAGCTCAAACTATGAGAAAGAAATCCCATCTGAAAGCTTGTACAAACCAATTATGAAGAGTTATCTTGCTCTTGGGTTGTAACATCAAAAATGAAAGACTCATTTTGAGATGCTGTTGACTCCGGCATGGTGTTTTAGCTTTGTACAACCTGCCTGGATGTACAGCACAGGTCTGTATAGGCATGAGAGCATGTTGGGTTGTTCATTTGCATTGTCTTGAAGTGGACATTAGTGGAAGGCCAGGCTAGATACCACCACCAAAGCTCTGATGTGGCAAGGTCCTTGTATTGCTGTTGACGTCAGCTTGACCTGAAGATGAAAGTGGGATATCTGCTGCCAATTACGCTTAGGTGCCCTAAGGTATTAGTGTCTGTGACTGAGAAGTCAGGAGGCCAGGTGGGCACTCAAGACACAGAGATCATGTTGAAGCTGTTCCTCAGTGGTTTCCCCAGGGTAGGTTCACTGCATCCTGCTTTGGGGCAGCCTGGGCAAAGCAAACAAATAGCAGACTGGATGACAGTCAAGTGCTGTTGACTTTAGTCTCAAATGAGTGTTAACTCCTGCCTGAGTATCGTTTGCAGTAGGACTTTCTTTTGCTGGCAAAGCTGAACAGATGTGTACCTATCGCATTTCCCAGACTACACATCCACTAAAAACCTCCTCCACTGGGGCCAGGTAGGGTTTCTCCTGTTCATTTCACATGATAACCCAGTAGTCATTCCTAGGTTGACTGGGTTGATGGTCTGCCACATTGCTCCATTCACCATGTGGATAGACATGGTGGCAGGATTGGTGAAGCGTCCCCTCTCCCTGTGTTTCCTTGGAGGCCACACGGGTCCCTGCTATCACCCTCATCTTCCACCCCGTGTGTGGGCTTGCTCAACCAGTTGACATCTCTGCCTGTTGTAAACAACCCACCCTTGAAAGGGACTCCCTGAGCACCAAAACCCCAGTCTTGGGGGATGTATGAGCCATGCTGGTTCCCTGGTGCAACCCCTGTCCTGCCAAGCCAACCCCCAGCTGTGTAGACACCTACGTATCATCCCCAGTAATGGCCTAAGGAAGTGGCCATGGCAAAAGCACATGACAGTCCATTGCCAATCACAAAGTGAACCAAGAGTGATGGAAAAAGCCAATATTTTCAGCTGAATTTGTCCAACATCCATATGCTTCTTCCTTCAAGATGAAGTCATTTCAGCATAAACGGTTGGGGAAAGAGCAAGCCGGCAAGACTCTAATTTGGAAGTACAGGTGGCTAATAAAGGGGGAAACCAGGAGGGCAGTCCTAGACTGACAGAAGTTACACCAGGTCCACATGAATAAATCCTCATTGGATTGTCCCTTTCTTCACAGACTAAGATCATTAATTTAGTTGTAATTCAAGCATAGTCTGAATGGCCATTGGGACTAGGAGAGTGGATGCACCTTGCATTTCTTGCTGCTTACAAAGAGTTCAATCATGGTTCCTCACCTCCTTGGCTGGCAGTCAAAGTCACGCTGCCCCAGGGATGGCTGAAAAGCTGCACAGTGCTGGCAGCTCTCAGAAGACCTAACAGGCTAATTTTCCAAACAATGCCCAAGAGAAACTCCCCACCCAACCAGGTGACTTGCACTCTGTCAGTCCATTGTAAGCAGCTGAGGTTGTCCGCCAAGTACTGCAGGATGAGTCCTTCTCCCTCCTGCCGTAGTAGACACAAGATATGCTCAAAGACAGCCCAAGTGACCACACCCTGAGCACCCTCCATCTGCTTTGCCCAAACCCCCACTGGGCCAGCTGCCCCACTGCTTTGCTGCCCCGCTGTGGGTCCTGAGGGATGGGCAGCTGCAAACACCAGCCCAGGCATCAGGGTTGTGCTGGGGCAGAGACCCTGCGGCTGCACTTTCCTCATGGTGGGGCTGATGTAAGGGATTACCCATATGGGGTTAACCCTCTGCCTCTGCCTTTCAGACTGCCAAAACTGAGAAGTTCAAGCAGTTTGACTATGGGAAGAAGAACAAGGAGAAGTACAACCAGGTAAGCAAGGGGTGCCTCTTGCTTGCGAGGATGAAGGGATGACTTGGTTGTGCTAAGAGGAGAAGAGGATGAGGTTGGCCAAGACCAGAATGAAGGCACCCCGTGCATCCTGCACCCATATGTCTTGTAATTCCCTTGGTGGCTGGGGCCTCCATGAACACTCAACTATTCGGTCCCATTTCGGCCAGCTGGTGCCGACCCAACCTTTTGGGTTTTTGTCCGCCCCTGGTGGGACAAGTCCCACAGGGATCTTACAGGACACATTTGCCCCATGCCACATTTGTTCACGTTTCCTAAATGTATGTCCCAGGACATGAATACCGTGGGACTCTCAACAGCTCTGATGGATAAAATCAAGCTGATATACCTTTCTTTCTATTTCACCTTTCTTTGAATAACCTGATGATTTTTCTCCCTAGACTTCGCCGCCCTTTTACAGGGTAGAACACATGATGATGCCGACCACCCTGTGGAGTGGCAGGGAGGACCGTGTTACCTCTACTACAGAGGCCCAGTGCTTGCTCCCCTGCATCACCAACCTTGTTCGTCACGAACACTTCCCTGACTGGAACTGCTGGGATCACATCTGGGGCCTGGACACCCCTCAGCACATGTACAGGCAGATGGTCGCTCTGATAATCCATGAACGGTCCACATGCTGCCCTGGGATGGAGGAGCCACTGTTCCCATGTCCTGTGGATGAGTGGCTTTTGTACCAGGATTGTCACCCTGCTCTCCCCTCCATAGAAACATCTCCTGTCACCCTATTTCACACATTTAGTGAGCTAACACAGTCTTGTGATTTCTCTCGGCCTTCTGTGACTACAGAGTGCCCTGGTGTTTTACCTTCCAAGCTTCTTCCTGGTGCACAGTAATATTTCTTTCCCTTGTTTTTCAGAACTATTTAAGTAATAAATTCCCATGCTGAAGCCCAGTCTGACTCTTCCCTTGGTGGACATCACCGAGGTTGTGCTGCAGGGCAGAAGTGCAGGACTTAGGGGATCCCAGCTCTGGGCATTATGAGCCCCTTCCCTTGCACCCCTCTCACATCCAGCCCTCTGGGACATTGCAAGGGGTAGGCAGGGCTCTTCCAACATGCATCATGCCAGCACATCAGCTTTGCTCTTCCCTCCCTGGTGACAGCCACATCCTTGCAGCGGTACGGTCACACATGATGACACTCTGCAGAGCACCCTGTCCAGGGCCAGTGACTCTTTGGCTGGTTGTGGCCACATGCAGTTTGGTTTCCCTCCCAGTGAATCCATCCATCACCGTTGGCAGGGGAGGAAGGAGAGAGAAGAAAGGGGGGGCAGTGTATGGTGCTCGTAAAACCTTTACTTTCACAGGAGCAGCCCATAAAAGCAGCATCCCATAAGACACACAGGCAGATCAGCTCACAGATCCTGCAAGCTTGAAGTTTCATCCTGTACCTTTGCTTTTCAGCCTGGTTAATCAGATGGAGACCAGTCAGACCACATAGCAATGTACCTGGGGCAAACACTTCTTCCCTGGGAAATACCTCGAATTGGGAGTATACCTCCATCTTTTCACCACCATCACCAGCTTGGCTCCTGTGGCGTTAACACAGGAGGCTCAAGCAGAGGCTCCGAACTGATGGACCCTCACTCTGACCCCACAGCTGTCCCTCCCACAGCGCACCCCGCTCCTGGGGCTGAAGGGTCCCAAGGAGATGAGACAGCGGAGCAGAAGGGCAGGGGGAGGCTGGCAACACCCCTCCCATCCATCCCCCACGAAACCCAGAGCCCCTGTGCTGCTTGCTATGTCAGCAAAGACACGTTGTTCCCATGTTTACATGGGACAGGGGTCACGCAGGACATTTCTGGGCTATTTACCTACAGCATGAGCTCAGACCATGTCTTCACACCTCTTGTCTTGTCTCTGCATGGGCACCCGCTGTGCAGTGTTGGGGGGATTGGGCAAGCAGTTCGTGAATGTCTCACCAAAATCATCAGCGCATCACACATCTCTTGGACGGAGGGAGGGAGGGATGGGTGGGTGGGTGGATGGATGGATGGATGGCTAGCTAGCTAGCTAGCTAGCTAGCCAGCCAAAGAAAGAAAGAAAGAAAGAAAGAAAGAAAGAAAGAAAGAAAGAAAGAAAGAAAGAAAGAAAGAAAGAAAGAAAGAAAGAAAGAAAGAAAGAAAGAAAGAAAGAAAGAAAGAAAGAAAGAAAGAAAGAAAGAAAGAAAGAAAGAAAGAAAGAAAGAAAGAAAGAAAGAAAGAAAGAAAGAAAGAAAGAAAGAAAGAAAGAAAGAAAGAAAGAAAGAAAGAAAGAAAGAAAGAAAGAAAGAAAGAAAGAAAGAAAGAAAGAAAGAAAGAAAGAAAGAAAGAAAGAAAGAAAGAAAGAAAGAAAGAAAGAAAGAAAGAAAGAAAGAAAGAAAGAAAGAAAGAAAGAAAGAAAGAAAGAAAGAAAGAAAGAAAGAAAGAAAGAAAGAAAGAAAGAGAAAGAAAGAAAGAAAGAAAGAAAAAGAATATAGTGGGTAGAGGGATAGATAAATGGATAGAAAGATGGATAGAAAGAATAGATATGTAGGTAGGTAGACAGATAGATACTTTTCAAATATACATGCTAAGAACAGAATGTTATTCTTAGGTAACACTGTGGGCTATGTTAAATTCAACTTCCTAGAAAACACAGCTGGGTTTTTGCCATAAGGTGTACCCCAGGAGGTGACGTGGGACCCTGTTCTGGGTGGGTTGTCTCCCAGGAAAGACCTAGCCTAACGCCAAGGCCCAGATGTTTCCCTTTCACCACCTCTCAGGCATGCGGTGTGCATCGACCTCTCTGGTTTCACTCTACTTGGAGGAATGTCTCTCCTGCAGCCAGTGCTCACCCCCTCCAGCCTTTGCAGGGCTCACAGACAAGGTCACTTTCCACCCCTCCTTCACCTAAACCCACAACCCAAAGCACACGCTCAATTTCTGGAGTAAAATTCTGTGCTGGCAATGCCCTGAGCCGGCAAAAGCTGAAAAACCCCAAACAAACAGGGTCTCCTGCACACCTCACCCTGGCAATGGGGTGCAAACACAACTCCAGTGAGGTCCACCAAGCAAAGGGTTGGAGTTCAGCTGTGATGCAAGAGTTTATTGCAATCTCTAGTCACAGAGGGCAGGCAGAAATTACACCATTACATTTAAGGCATGTAAAATGTACACACTGACATTCCACAATCAGTGTGGAATAGGGTGATAGGAGACATTTTTAAGAAGGGAAGAGCAGAGTGGCAGTCCTCACACAAAACCTGTGCCCCCAGGCACATGGGAATGGGTGGCTCCTCCTTCTCGGGACAGCACATTCATGGATTTTGCTCCATCAGAGCGACCATCTGCCTGTACATGCGCTGAGGGGCGTCCCAACCCCAGTGGTGGTCAAAATGGTTCCAGTCGGGGAAGTGCTCATGACGAATGAGGTTGGTGATGCGGGGGAGCAAGCGCTTGGTCTCCAGAGGGGGATTCACCCAGTCCTCCCCACCACTCCACAGGGCGGTCGGCACTGTCATGTCTTCTATCCTGTACACGGGGGGAGTGGCCTGGGAGGGGGGAAACGCTCCAGTTATTTGCAGGCTCTGACACTAATAGCACTAATGGATAGGGTGTGCTGTCCTTGGCATCCCAAAGGACTGGGGCAACTCTGGCCACTGGAGGATGCTGCCCCCATCCTCGTCCTAGCCAGCCTCATCCTTTGCTCCTCCTTCCACAAGTCCCCATTTACCTGGTTGTACTTCTCCTGGTTCTTCTTCCCATAGTCAAACTGCTTGAACTCCCCAGTTTTGGCAGTCTGGAAAGCAGAGGCAAAAGGTTAACCCCGTGCAGGTAATGCCCAGGATCAGCCCCACCGCAAGCAAAGGGCAGCAGCAGGGTCCAGGTGAGTGCTCTCTGCCCAGCACAGCCGTGGTGTGGCACTTGCTGGTGTCTGTCCTGTGGGCCAGAGCAAAGAGGGAGTCCCAAAAACACCTACATGGGGTCCTTACCCGGGATGGAGATGAGCATCTGGGTGGCTCTGCCTTGGCCAGCCAGAAGCAGTAGCTAGGAGCTGTGGCTTTTGAGACACCTTGGTGCAGCAACTTAAAAATCACTTTTATTGGCTTTGTCTGATTCTACCTCCTTACCTGTCTCCAGGGTGAATGAAGCAGCATTGTAAAATACCGTATTCACAGATTAAAAGAAAAAGCATTGGTTACAGTCGTTATAAAAATCAGTCTCTACCTGTCCCCAGTGGAGAAGAGTTTTTACTGATGTATAGTCTGGAAAATGAGCTAGGTATACATCCAGTCGGCTCTGCAGGAAGAAAGAATTATTTTCTAAGTGAGTTGGGAATGATGAAAATCTGTCTAGGCAAAAAAAATCATTCTGTCTTATAACTGCAATATAAACATTCTATGCTCCAGCAGCTTTATTCTGTTCAGAGCTAGGAGTAGCTTTTAAAGGTAAACCAGTTAACCACCACTTTAAAATGGAAATACAACTGGTTCAGTCATTTTTTTGCTATTTTTTTCTATAAACTTGTTGCAGGTCAGCAGAAAATGAGGCAGGAGTTACCTTTCCTTTGCAGACAAGACCACAAGTGATTCTTTCCTACTGAAGCCTCCATTAGGTTTAACACCCCAACACCACTGGAAGAAATCTCAAAAAACTGCTGCCTTGAACAGTGCTTTTCATACCTTATTTTGGTTTTTTATACTCATTTTTGTATTTCATTAGCTATCTCCAGGTGTCTAGAAAAACTGGAGATGGCTGTGACCTAGAGAGGCTGATGCACTCACCACATTCAAGTTCTTCTTGTTGTACCCGCCAATAAGGAAGATCTCGTTTTCACAGACTTCAGCTGTTAGCAGGTTGCTGCACGTCTTGGCAAGGGTGGCTCTCTCCGTCCTCCCCACCAGAGTCAGCTGTTTTGTTCCAAATATTGCCTGCAAGAACACAAGGAAACAGGTCATGGTGGGTCCTGCAACACATGTCCCCTCTCCACAAGAACCACTTGTCCCCATCCAGGGCTGACAGGCAACTCCTCAATATGGTTGTTGACACATTTGGGCTAGCCAGCCTCATGAGGAGGTTGACCCAACCACCAGTTGGGTCACACCCAACTCTCAGAGCAGCATGAAACCATCACCATCCTTTCCACACCATGCTGTAGTCCCCATCATCCTGGTGCATCCTCTCTATGGTACCAGCTTCCAAAGCTCAGCCCAGGATGGCCAGACTCATACCACTCATCTGCCACCTCTGTTGACACATGCTCCTCAGGTGGAGCACATTCAGGGAGAGTGCCAGCTCCCCTTTCAGCCTTTCTCCAGCCGCTGGAGCAAAGGGTGGAAGGGAGGTGGTGTGGGGCTGCTCTGAGCTGGGCTACGGGACTGGGGTGTGGTGAGGTCAATAAGCAAAAACATAAACAGGAATGATAGAGAGGTACGGATATTTTAAACAGTGAAATCTGGTTGTGCTCGACTGGGTGGAAAGGGACATCCCTGCTGTTTGGGATCTTGGGACCTCGGGACCTCTCATCTGCCCACACATGTCTCCAATGCCTGTCACAGGCATGGGCTCAGTGCACAGCAGCAACACGAGGAACATGAGTTGCTGAAAGCTCCTGGGTTTCAGTAGTAATAATACACAAACACCTCATGTACCTTCAGTACCGCATCTGGTAAAAACGCTATCTTTAGCACGGGGCCTTTGACGTGATGAAAGGTGTAGAGAGGAGCCAGTGCAAAGAAGAGTTTGATTTTCTCAGCCAGGTGTGGCATGCTTGAAAACGCTATGAAACCTGAAAAGCAGTGAGACATCACGACGATAACCCCAACAGCAACAATGCTCATCCCAGACCTCCTTTTTGAGACACAGGGTTTGAACAAAACTAAATGCTCCTGGATGTCAGCACAGCCCAGGATGGCTGGGCAAGACGTAGCAAACCTCTCCCATGCAGAAGGACCAAGAAGTCAGGTAGGAAAAGTGGCCCCATGGGCCAACACAGCCCTGTCCTCAGCAGTCTTCAGGTTGGGACAGATATTGATGTCCCTCTCCCGTGGCATCCTGGCGCCCTGCTCCCACCCACTGCCAGCTCCTCCTCCTCACTCACCCAGAGAGTTGCCTTGAGCGTGGCCGACGTAGAACAGTTTCTCCTGCCTGGTTTGCCTTAGGATGAAGCCCACCATGGCGGGGAGGTCGTACATGGCCATCTCGTGGAAGCTGGGGAGCAAGGGGAGAAGCTGGAGGAGGTGCCCATCTCCCAACCTCCCATGGACCTCAGGTGGTCGGCGCTGGCAGCCCAGAATCCCAGCCCCATCCTTGGTGGCATTCTCACCTGAAATCCCAAAACTCCTCTTGGTCGACAGAAAGGTTCAGGTGCCGTCGGGACCAGCTGTTCCCCCGGCTGTTTCCAATCCAGACGTCGTACCCTGTGTCTGCGAGGATGAAGCCCAGGCTGCTGTTGGGGAGGTTGTCCACCCAGTCACCACCA